TGGGTATAACAAGACTGATGGGCGTTACAAGACAGGTGAGGATTAACAATAATAATAATAATATCGTTATATAAGTACATGATACAACTTGCACAAACTTAGCTGACATCAGTGACATACTGAAAGCCCCTTGTTATTCGGAGTATTTCGGGTAAATTTGGTTAATTTTTTCCCGAGGATGCGACCCACACCAGTTGACTAACACCTAGGTGCTTATTTACTGCTAGTTGAACAGGGACAATCCACTCTCAATGTTTCCATCCATACGAGGATATGAGTAGCGTGCGCTACCAACCGTGCCATGGGTTTTACACCACAGGTAGATGCAAGAAGACAGGTAGGTGTAACGAGGCATGTGGGTCTCACAAAGCACCTGGGTGTAATGAGAGGCCAGTGCCTAAACGTGTCTGACACTTGAAGAGGGTAAGTAAAGTCTGGAATAATCTTACTATCCTTCTCTTTGTATAAACTGTTAAGGCGTAGTTGGCAAGTGGGTTGTCGCCTGACGACTGTTAGAATAAACGCCACACAAAGCAGTGTGACGCACTTTTGGCATTGCCTTTGATTTATTGCAGAAGTTTTGTGTACTACTACTACTACTACTACTACTACTACTACTACTACTACTACTACTACTACTACTACTACTACTACTACTACTAGTAGTAGTAGTAGTAGTAGTAGTACTGCTGCTACTTACTACTACTTAATACTTTTAACAATTTCTACAGGTACATATACAATGATGTATATTGCTACTGCTAATAATAATGATTATTTCTACAAGTACATGTTAGTTTAATATCTTTATAATGCACCTCATACCCTTCGTGTGGGTGGTATTAAAAAAATTACCGAGGTACATAATGGGTTCAGGGACTGGGCTCCAAAGTTTTGATAGCTGAACAAGTTACAAAGGTAATGAAATCACTTACACCTCTATACAAGTTACAAAGGTAATGAAATCACTTACACCTCTGTACCTCTATACAAGGTAATGAACCATTCACACGTCCTCGCCCGGTGACAACTGTAATAAGTAATTAGTGCAAATATTAATTGGGTAGGTCGGTGTGTGTGTGTGTGTGTGTGTGTGTGTGTGTGTGTGTGTGTGTGTGTGTGTGTGTGTGTGTGTGTCTGTCTGTCTGTCTGTCTGTCTGTCTGTCTGTCTCTCTCTCTCTCTCTCTCTCTCTCTCTCTCTCTCTCTCTCTCTCTCTCTCTCTCTCTCTCTCTCTCTCTCTCACACACACACACACACACACACACACACACACACACAAAACTGGTAACTAACATGTGGTAACGCTTTATTTACAGTGAGCAAAGTCAGGGTATTTTTCCAAAATGATTTGTAATATACAACTGTGGATAAATACTTTGCCATTTCTGGAACATTTCTGAGTGAGTTGTCTCTGAATTCATTAATTTTATCGCTCTCTAGTACATAATGATGCAAATAGTGATAGTGATTCATCTGACAAAGTTTACATTTCATTTGGTCTACATTTCTACAAGTACATATACAACGTATATTGCTACAACTACTACTACTAATTATTTCTGCAAGTACATGTACAGCGTATATTTAAAGTAAAAGGACACAAGTGCAACTAATGTGACATTTATTGTGGCAACGTTTCGCTCTCCAGGAGCTTTATCAAGCCATTACAAACAATACATGGACACAGAGGGTATATAAAGGCTCAGAGTGAGGTGAATACTAGTGAGGTACCATTTCGATGTTCACTAGTGGTAGTAGTAGTAGTAGTAGTAGTAGTAGTAGTGGTAGTGACAAAAGTAATACAATATGGTAGAGCAATTAATTCGTACATGAGTAAAAGGATATAAAAGCTATTACTTGGGTAACATAAAAATAGGTTGGACAAATATAGACTGCCTCATTCCAGTCTATATTTGTCCAACCTATTTTTATGTTACCCAAGTAATAGCTTTTATATCCTTTTACTCATGTACGAATTAATTGCTCTACCATATTGTATTACTTTTGTCACTACCACTACTACTACTACTACTACTACTACTACTACCACTAGTGAACATCGAAATGGTACCTCACTAGTATTCACCTCACTCTGAGCCTTTATATACCCTCTGTGTCCATGTATTGTTTGTAATGGCTTGATAAAGCTCCTGGAGAGCGAAACGTTGCCACAATAAATGTCACATTAGTTGCACTTGTGTCCTTTTACTTTACATATTGTCGGTAATTCTACCAACTTTATTACAGCGTATATTGTTGGTGTTACACAAATAACCAGCACATAGGAGAGAAGAGCTTACGACGACGTTTCGGTCCGACTTGGACCATTTACAGAATCACACTAACAAAAATGAGAGGAGAGAGTATTTATAGGCCAGCAGACAGGGACGAGATAAGTAAAGAAGTAGGTAAGGAAGAAGAGAAGTAGTGATAGAGGTAGTAGTAGTAGTGGAGTCAGTCAAAGACTAAGAAAGAGGAGCACTGTAAGGGAGCTAGGGGCCCACAAAGGGTAGATACAAGAACACAGATGGGGAAAAATAGTAATGGACCAAATACCCAAAGCAGAAGAAAGAAAACCCAAAGGAGAAAGAGGGAAGGGGAAGAGGGAGAAGGGAGAAGGGGAAAAAAAGAAGCATCAGGTTAAGTCATGGGTGTTCCGAAGTTCGGACCGAAACGTCATCGTAAGCTCCTCTCTCCTATGTGCGGGTCATTTGTGTACTGTTCCAGTCACGGTATTTTGCCTTTTGTTGTTGTTGTTGTTGTTGCTGCTTCTTCTTTACGCCTCAGTATGTACAGAGAATTTCTCTGATGACACTGAAAAACATCGTCATTTCAAGTATTTATTTCAATCATCTACAAGTTCAGTTTAGTAGTGTTCAGTTAAGACTATTTTGGGCTCTAGGTCCCCTCAAGGAAGGTTCCTTGACGTTGGTGAGGGGCTCTAGATCTAGAGAATTGGAGCTGTGCTCCAATTCCCTGAATTAAGCCTGAATACCTTCCACATCCCCTCACAGGCGCTGTGAACATCAAAATGGTATACAATACCGACAGGTTGTTAGGTAAGACACATATGCAACAGTTAGACAACTTTATTCCGAAACGTTTCGCCTACACAGTAGGCTTCTTCAGTCGAATACAGAAAGTAGGCAGGAACAGTAGAGATGTGAAGACGATGTAATCAGTCCATCACCCTTAAAGTCGTAGAATTTGAGGTTGTCAGTCCCTCGGCCTGGAGAAGTTCAGTTCCATAGTCAGGAACTATCTGAAGATCAAGCGACAGTGCGGAGACTTAAATACTGTCGGAAGGAGAGGTGCAGGGTAGTAGTAGTAGTAGTAGTAGTAGTAGTAGTAGTAGTGAGAGGCCACTGAGAGGTCATGTCCCTCTCAGATCCAACACTTCTCACTTGAAAAGCTTGTCCAAGGTGTTTTCTGTACCAATATGCCACGTGTTGCAGTGTCTGACAAGATGAAACATCAAAATGGTATACAATACCGACAGGTTGTTAGGTAAGACACATATGCAACAGTTAGACAACTTTATTCCGAAACGTTTCGCCTACACAGTAGGCTTCTTCAGTCGAATACAGAAAGTAGGCAGGAACAGTAGAGATGTGAAGACGATGTAATCAGTCCATCACCCTTAAAGTCGTAGAATTTGAGGTTGTCAGTCCCTCGGCCTGGAGAAGTTCAGTTCCATAGTCAGGAACTATCTGAAGATCAAGCGACAGTGCGGAGACTTAAATACTGTCGCTTGATCTTCAGATAGTTCCTGACTATGGAACTGAACTTCTCCAGGCCGAGGGACTGACAACCTCCAATTCTACGACTTTAAGGGTGATGGACTGATTACATCGTCTTCACATCTCTACTGTTCCTGCCTACTTTCTGTATTCGACTGAAGAAGCCTACTGTGTATGCGAAACGTTTCGGAATAAAGTTGTCTAACTGTTGCATATGTGTCTTACCTAACAACCTGTCGGTATTGTATACCATTTTGATGTTCATCTTGTCAGACACTGCAACACGTGGCATATTGGTACAGAAAACACCTTGGACAAGCTTTTCAAGTGAGAAGTGTTGGATCTGAGAGGGACATGGCCTCTCAGTGGCCTCTCACTACTACTACTACTACTACTACTACTACCCTGCACCTCTCCTTCCGACAGTATTTAAGTCTCCGCACTGTCGCTTGATCTTCAGATAGTTCCTGACTATGGAACTGAACTTCTCCAGGCCGAGGGACTGACAACCTCAAATTCTACGACTTTAAGGGTGATGGACTGATTACATCGTCTTCACATCTCTACTGTTCCTGCCTACTTTCTGTATTCGACTGAAGAAGCCTACTGTGTAGGCGAAACGTTTCGGAATAAAGTTGTCTAACTGTTGCATATGTGTCTTACCTAACAGGCGCTGTATAATCTTACGGGTTTGGCTCTTCCCCATGATTATAATAATAATAATAATGAGCTCTAGGTGTCAATCTTTCACACATTGTACATTGTTCTGTGAGGTGGTTAGTAGGTAAATGTTGGTAGCATGTACTGTGAGGTGGTGAGGGAGGGTAGTGTTAATAGCACTTACTATCAGGTTATGTATAGGGTAGCGGTGTTATGTTCTGTGGAGGGAAAGGGCTGAGGAAGGATAATTTTCGTAAACATAATTGAGCATTCTGTATCAGCAGTTTGCCTCTGCCATACTCACTATAATAGTTACGTAGTGGGAACAAAAATAAGCTATGTTTCCCTGTCATATTGCATCATAGGATAGTTTTTTTTTACATCAAGTAATTAAATATGTTAACCAGAGCTGGAGACTTCAGTAAAGCATTCCCCTAAGAATTCATTAGCAATGGCAGCTTCAAGATTTGCTTCCAGCAGAGCTGCAGTTACTATTACATTGTAATTGCTATCAATGAGGACGGCTTATCACACGAGAATAATGTTGGCATCATATGTTGTCTTGAGGGAAGGAGGGGGGAATACAGAGAAGGGTATGAAGCAGTGCCAGGTACGTCTCACAGTCACTCTTGGCCCCCCGTGTACACCTCTACTGCTGTTGTGGCATTACTCGCTTTTCATGTTAAATCTTTTGTGTTGCGATGATGCTTGTGTTGTGGCGGAGGCTCCTGTGGTGAAGCATATGTTGTGATGGAACACGAGTTGTGAGCTGTTGTAATGGAGCTTGAGTTGTGAGCTGTTGTAATGGAGCTTGAGTTGTGAGCTGTTGTAATGGAGCTTGAGTTGTGAGCTGTTGTAATGGAGCTTGAGTTGTGAGCTGTTATAATGGAGCTTGGGTTGTATGGTGTTTGGGTTGTGATGAATTTGAGTTGTGAGGAGCTTGTGTTATGATGGAGGCTTTGGTGTTATGTCAGTGGCTCACCTCTGATCACCACAGATAATAATTTAAAGTGATGTTTATTTGCTTTCTTATTGCAGATATAACTGATACTGCATTGAAAATTGTAGAAGTGAAGTGTCAAATTTTTGACTCATTTTAATCGAGTTACAAACTAATAAAGGCATCATTAGAGTGGTAAAACATCCACAATACTGTTATATGGTGAATCACTGTTAGTGTTGTAGTTGTGAAGAGAAAATAAGAGTGCGTCGTCACATCTACGCAGCAGCAGCAGCAGCAGCGTCTCCTTGGCCAAGACCAAGGACTTCTCGCTAGCAACAGCCAGGAGAAGCTATAAGTGTACAATGTCGTACCGCGGCGAAGCCAGTCTGGCTAACTCAACCAGAGAAGCAGATGGAAAACTGTACACTTTGTATCCTCGCCCAGGTACTTTTATATTTTCATTGCCCCCTATTGCCCACACACTACAAGGGCCCCCCCATACTGCCCAAACACCACAAGGGCCCTCCCATACTGCCCATTCACCACAAGGGCCCTCCCATACTGCCTACTCACCACAAGAGCCATCCCATACTCCCCACTCACCACATGGGCCATCCCATACTGCCCACCCACTACAAAGGCCCTCCCATACTGCCCACTCACCACAAGGGCCCTCCCATACTGCCCGCTCTCCACAAGGGCCCTCCCATGCTGTCCGCTCTCCACAAGGGCCCTCCCATACTGCCCGCTCTTCACAAGGGCCCTCCCATACTGCCCGCTCTTCACAAGGGCCCTCTCATACTGCCCACTCACTGTTGCACCTACTTCCTGCTCATTATTCCCTTTCCATACTGCCCATTTACTACCATTACCCTCCCTTACTTCCCACTCGCTACCATTGCCCTTCCTTCCCACTCACTACCATTGCCCTTCCTTCCCACTCACTACCATTGCCCTTCCTTCCCACTCACTACCATTGCCCTTCCTTCCCACTCACTACCATTGCCCTTCCTTCCCACTCACTATTACCCTTTCGTACTGCCCCCTCACTGTTGCCCTTCCACATCACCCACTCACTGCTACGTGCCTCCGATACCGCCCACTCACTATTACTGTCTTCCGATACTGCCCACTCACTACTACTGTCTTCCGATACTGCCCACTCTCTACTACTGTCTTCCGATACTGCCCGCTCACTATTACTGTCTTCCGATACTGCCCACTCACTACTACTGTCCTCCGATATTGCCCACTCACTGCTTCTATTGCCTTCCCATACCACCCACTCATTACTACGTGCCTCCGATACCGCCCACTCACTGCTATTGTCTTCCGATATTGCCCACTCACTGCTATTATCTTCCGATACTGCCCACTCACTATTATTGCCTTACCATACTGCCCACTCACAACTGTTGCACCTACTTCCTGCTCATTATTCCCCTCCCATACTGCCCATTCACTACCATTACCCTCCCTTTCCACTCACTACCATTGCCCTTCCTTCCCACTCACTATTCCCCTTTCATATTCTCCCCTCACTATTGCCCTTCCATACCACCCACTTACTGCTACGTGCCTCTGATACCGCCCACTCATTATTACTGTCTTCCGATACTGCCCACTCACTACTATTGCCCTCCCTTACTCCCTTAATACCAAAACTAGGGAGGCCAAACCCATGATGACACTCTTCAGGTCACTTGTTCTATCTAGGCTGGAATATTGCTGCACACTAACAGCACCTTTCAAGGCAGGTGAAATTGCTGACCTAGAAAATGTACAGAGAACCTTCACGGCGCGCATAACGGAGATAAAACACCTCAATTACTGGGAGCGCTTGAGGTTCCTAAACCTTTATTCCCTGGAACGCAGGCGGGAGAGATACATGATTATATACACCTGGAAAATCCTAGAGGGACTAGTACCGAACTTGCACACGAAAATCACTCACTACGAAAACAAAAGACTTGGCAGACGATGCAACATCCCCCCCAATGAAAATCAGGGGTGTCACTAGCACGTTAAGAGACCATACAATAAGTGTCAGGGGCCCGAGACTGTTCAACTGCCTCCCAGCATACATAAGGGGGATTACCAACAGACCCCTGGCAGTCTTCAAGCTGGCACTGGACAAGTACCTAAAGTCGGTTCCTGACCAGCCGGGCTGTGGCTCGTACGTTGGTTTGCGTGCAGCCAGCAGCAACAGCCTGGTTGATCAGGCTCTGATCCACCAGGAGGCCTGGTCACAGACCGGGCCGCGGGGGCGTTGACCCCCGGAACTCTCTCCAGGTAAACTCCAGGTACTCTCTACTACTGTCTTCCGATACTGCCCACTCTCTACTACTGTCTTCCGATACTGCCCACTCACTACTACTGTTTTCCGATACTGCCCACTCTCTACTACTGTCTTCCGACACTGCCCACTCACTGCTACTGTCTTCCGATACTGCCCACTCTCTACTACTGTCTTCCGATACTGCCCACTCTCTACCTCACTGATACTACTGTTCCGATACTGCCACACTCTCTCGATACTCACTGCTACTGTTTCCGATACTGCCCACTCTCTACTACTGTCTTCCGATACTGCCCATCCTACTACTGTCTTCCGATACTGCCCACTCACTACTACTGTTTTCCGATACTGCCCACTCACTACTACTGTCTTCCGATACTACCCATTCACTACTACTGTCTTCCGATACTGCCCACTCTCTACTACTGTCTTCCGATACTGCCCACTCTCTACTACTGTCTTCCGATACTGCCCACTCTCTACTACTGTCTTCCGATACTACCCATTCACTACTACTGTCTTCCGATACTGCCCACTCTACTACTACTGTCTTCCCGATTACTGCCCGACTCACTCACCTACTGTCTTCCGATACTGCCCACTCTCTACTACTGTTCTTCCGATACTGCCCACTCCTACTATTGTCTTCCGATACTGCCCACTCACTGCTACTGTTTTCCGATACTGCCCACTCCTACTACTGTCTTCCAAACTGCCCACTCACTGCTACTGTCTTCCGATACTGCCCATCACTACTACTGTTTTCCGATACTGCCCATTCACTACTATTGTCTTCCGATATGCCCACTCACTGCTACTGTCTTCCGATACTGCCCACTCACTACTACTGTCTTCTCGACACTGCCCACTAGCTACTGTCTTCGACTGCCCCTTACTACTACTGTTTCCGAACTGCCCACTCACTACTACTGTCTTCCGATCATGCCCACTCACTGCTACTGTCTTCCGAACTGCCCACCACTACTACTGTCTTCCGACACTGCCCACTGCTACTGTCTCTGACATTGCCCATTACTACTACTGTCTTCTGACACTGCCCATCACTACTACTGTCTTCTGACCTGCCCACTCACTACTACTGTCTTCTGATACTGCCCACTCACTATACTGTCTTCCAATACTGCCCACTCACTACTGTCTTCTGACACTGCCCACCTACTATACTGTCTTCCGATACTGCCCACTCACTACTGTCTTCCGATACTGCCCACTCACTGCTGTTTTCCCAAAACACTGCCCACTCACTGCTACTGTCTTCCGATACGCCCACTCTACTACTGTCTTCAGATACTGCCCATTCACTATTTACTGTCTTCCGATACTGCCCACTCACTCTGTTTTCCCGACACTGCCCACCTACTATACTGTCTTCCGATACTGCCCACTCACTACTGTCTTCCGTACTGCCCACTCACTGCTGTCTTCCGACACTGCCCACTCACAAGTGTTGCCTTCCCATACCACCACTCACTACTACGTGCATCCGATACCCCCCACTCACTGCTATTGCCCACTCAATATTATTGTAACTTGTCATGATTGTGACCAGATCTACCTGGAGTTCATTACCTTTGAAACTTGCTCTGCTATCAATGGAAATAAGTCACTCTGTCTGACTTTTTTGGGTTATCCTAGGGTTTTCTACACACATGCTGCTATGTATGATAATTCTATGTAACTGTATTTGTGTTTTACCTGAATAAACTTACTTACTTACTTATAAACTTTGGGACCCAGTCCCTGGACCCATTATGTACCTCTGTAATCTTTTGACTACCGCCCCACGGATGGGTATGGGGTGCATAAATAAAACATTAAACTAACTAGCCTTACTGCTCACTCACTACTAAATTTCCCTCCCTTACTGCCCAGCGTTATTGCCTTCTTATACCGCCCACTCACTATTGCCCTCCCATGCTGCCCATTCACTGCTTTGCCCTCCTATACTGCCCTCCAATAGTACCAACTCACTATTGCCCACTCACTATTATTGCTACTATTCTGCCGGGACACTACTATTGCCCTTTCTTGCTGCTCATTCCCTGTTGCCCTCATACTGACCACTCGTCTGTTGCTCTCCCCTTCTGCCCATTCATTAATCTTGCCCTCCCATAATGCCCAATCATTACAAGGGCCCAACCACACTTCCCACTCACTACCATTGCCCTTCCTTCCCACTCACTACCATTGCCCTTCCTTCCCACTCACTATTACCCTTTCGTACTGCCCCCTCACTGTTGCCCTTCCACATCACCCACTCACTGCTACGTGCCTCCGATACCGCCCACTCACTATTACTGTCTTCCGATACTGCCCACTCACTACTACTGTCTTCCGATACTGCCCACTCTCTACTACTGTCTTCCGATACTGCCCGCTCACTATTACTGTCTTCCGATACTGCCCACTCACTACTACTGTCCTCCGATATTGCCCCACTCACTGCTTCTATTGCCTTCCCATACCACCCACTCATTACTACGTGCCTCCGATACCGCCCACTCACTGCTATTGTCTTCCGATATTGCCCACTCACTGCTATTATCTTCCGATACTGCCCACTCACTATTATTGCCTTACCATACTGCCCACTCACAACTGTTGCACCTACTTCCTGCTCATTATTCCCCTCCCATACTGCCCATTCACTACCATTACCCTCCCTTTCCACTCACTACCATTGCCCTTCCTTCCACTCACTATTTGCCCTTTAATATTCTCCCCTCACTATTGCCCTTCCATACCACCCACTTACTGCTACGTGCCTCTGATACCGCCCACTCATTATTACTGTCTTCCGATACTGCCCACTCACTACTACTGTCTTCCGATACTGCCCACTCACTACTATTGCCCTCCCTTACTCCCTTAATACCAAAACTAGGGAGGCCAAACCCATGATGACACTCTTCAGGTCACTTGTTCTATCTAGGCTGGAATATTGCTGCACACTAACAGCACCTTTCAAGGCAGGTGAAATTGCTGACCTAGAAAATGTACAGAGAACCTTCACGGCACGCATAACGGAGATAAAACACCTCAATTACTGGGAGCGCTTGAGGTTCCTAAACCTTTATTCCCTGGAACGCAGGCGGGAGAGATACATGATTATATACACCTGGAA